AAGTACCGCAGGAGGAGTTTTTCCTCGCCGTCGGAAAGATGCCTGTGCGTCACCAGCAGGGCGATCTGATCGTTGAGGCGCACTCGCAAGAGCTACATCCCTCACTCTTGGAGTTCTCTTCGAATGACGGCCTTTACTCGGACGGCCCCGTCAAGTTGTTCAAAGGTGATGACGTCCAGGTCACGAACTTGATCACGCAGTTCAATGGCAGGGAGGCCAATTCGGGCTCCTGTCTGGCTTTCGCTCCCCGGAACAAGAACGGAGCTCAGGTAGGTAATCACCAGGAGGCGACGAAAGGCGACTGGACGTCGGCAACGAAGGATGACTTCGTCCAGCTGGAGCCTTGGGCGGTGCCCTGCGACAACACTTGGATGAAGGAGCGCGGGAGTTTGATCACCCGTGCATGTTGGCCAATGATAAAAGCATCAATCCAGCGGTTTCCACAGACAGGTGCAGCTTCCAGACTCACCGTGCAGCAAGTCAACTTGCTGTGAGTGGGGCGGGCGGGAGGGGCATTGAGTGAGTCAGTGTGTGAGTGAGTCCGAGTATGGGTGAGTGAGTTAGTAAGTGAGTGGGTGGGTAGGTGAGTGAGTGAGTGAGCTAGTGGGTGAAGCCATGAGAGAGTGGGTGCATCTGTCTGTGAGGGAAGTCGTGAACATGTCAGGACAATTGGAACAAATGGCAAGGCTACTCCTTCTACACGGGAACGGCCGCCGTCGAGAAGTGCCTGTCAGTCACGTTCAAGATAGACATCCAGCCCGTGGTCGCCTTCATCGCCGGCATTTCCATCAAGCTTGTGCCGACGCTCTTCGACTTGATCACCACCGTGTGTTGGCCGAACCAGATGCCGGGTGGTCTGGACTTGTCCGTCCTGCGTTCTGAGCTGAAAACCGGCGGTCATCTGCTGTTCAGCCGAACGCTGCGGCTTGCAAAGCGTTTCGGCTCTGACACGCGCTTCGTGAAGAAGAACCTCGGCACTGGCTACCAGACCTGGAGATTCCCTCTTGGCATCGCCAAAGGCGAGACCAGGCCTGCATTCGCACCTATGTCGCTTTTGGAGGGCAATCGAAGCCAAATTGAAGGCGGAGAGGGCGAGAAGCTCGAGACAGAGTCCTGGTATTGGAAGACCGAGACGGAGGACCTCTACTTGGCATCCGTCGACTACGATGATTCCATGGAGGCGAACACGACCTGGGAGATGCGCGGGGCGGATGCAGCACGGCACTTGAGTGCAATGCAGGAGGCTCAGGCGCAGGGCAAGGAGAACATCATCCAGCTCTTCAACTTGGAGAAGCCGGGATTGTCGAACTTCCACATCCAAGGCCTTCTCAATGGCAACAGCCTTGAGTTGGGCCTCCAGATGGGTTTCGGGCCTTACCAGAGCCCAAGTCGGAGAATCCCTCTGGCCGACATCGGGGTCCAGTTTGCTGTTATCCTTGCAGCGGTCCCCTGGATCTCGGTGGAATCCAAGAAGACGGCGATCGCTGCCTTGCGAGACTTCTCGACAGAGGACGCCGGGCGAGTCAAGGGACTTCCGCTGAGGCCAGGCTCCGTCATTGCCCTGCACTGCACGCACAACAACCGCTACCTCTCCATGGACTCGAATCACATTCAGGGCAGCCCGGAGGAGCGTCCCGATGGGATCAAGGATTGGTGGAATCACGAGCGCTTTACCGTGGTAGATGCAGGGCACGGCAAGATCGCGTTGCACAACGCGCACCACAACAAGTTCCTCAAATCCTTCGGCAGCGCCTGGGCGGCTTTTGGTTTTGGTTTTCAGTTTGTCCTCAGGGCAGGCAGTCAAAACCATGGCTTTCCTCTTCCAAGAGTGTGTGTCGGCTAGCTAAGTTATGCCAAGCATGCTGCCTGCAGATATACTTTTCAACGCGTCAGCCATGTACCTAGGAGCTGTCCACATACATGTGCAAGAGTCGTCTCGTGTTGAATCCTGAGCCCCTTCCCGTTTTGCCCTTTGCACCTACAGTGAATTCGAATTCAATGGGCTTGCCATGCAGGTGGAGTAAGTCCTCAGAAAAATGTGAACGAGCTTCCTCATGATTGGGGCGCAGAGAGATGGAATGTGGTGGATGCCGGAAATGGACAGATTGCATTGCAGGGCTCGTCGAAGGTCTTCCTCAGCGTCAACGATGGCGGTGGGGCGGGCTTCACCGACCCTCATGATCATCTGCCCGCAAGCTGGACGTGGGAGCGCTTCACGGTCGTGGCCGCTGAGGTGAAGCTGGTCCCTGGATCAACAGTGGCTCTCTACAACACCCACCACCGAAAGTTCATTGCCATGAGAAGGAACCATCTGGAAACCCGGCGGTTCCTCAGAAGGTGGTGACTTTCACGACGACTGGACCCACGAGCGCTTCACCGTCATCCAGAAGAACGATCGGGAGATTGCACTGCACAACGCTAGATATAATCGCTTCATCAAGGTTGATGGAGCGAGCCCGCACAAGAATCCGGATCGATTTCCCCAAGATTGGGCCAGTGAGTCCTTCGAAGTTTGGCCGGCTGTTGACGGAGAGATGATGCTTTGGAACCGCGGTGCCAACCGATGCGTCCAAATGGGTGATAGCCACATGGGCCAGAGTGGCCATCCCCCTGCTGGCTTGGACACGCGCGGCTGGACATGGGAGCGATTCTCGGTCGTGAATGTCAAGCCATACCTGGAGCCGGGGACGGTCGTGGCCCTGCACAATGCGGTCCACAACCGGTTCCTCAAGATGACACATGAATTATTCATGGAACGCAGCCCAGAGAAAGGCGTGGGCGACTTGCCCAGCGACTGGGATTTTGAGCGTTTCAAGGTTGTCGACGCCGGGAACGGCCAGATCCGCCTCTACAACGAACGCCACAGGAAGTATGTATGGATGTCGGGCTGTGATCATTACCACAGACTGGCAAGCCATCATGAGAGCCACGGACTGCACGATGGGTTGACAAAGTTCACGGTCGTGCCTGGAAGTGATTTGTTCGACGGGGTTATTGCTTTGCACAACTCGGAACTCAACTGCTTCCTGCGCATGACAGGCCATCAGGTAGATGCCAGCACTTGGAAATCGATCCAAGACCTTCCGGATGGTTGGGATCAGGAACGCTTTCACATCGTGAAGGCGGGAGCGGGAAACCAGGCTAGCGAGCCGGCCGGCAAACACCTGGACGTGTCTTTGACTTGAGGGCGCTACGGCATAGCTTCCGGCTGTTTCAGGCCAATGGGTTTGAACCCTTGCCAGCAATGCTAGTCTTCTTCTCAGCCCGTAAGCTGACTGCTCCTCCTGCGACGAAGACGCAGCGTTCACGAAAGTCGCTGAAAATGCAGGTGCATTGAGTGCCACATGTGAAGCGTCTTTTCACAGCTGTAGGATGGAACACCCGCCTAGTACATATGCTCTGCAAGTCGACCGGCTTGGGCAAGGCCTACTCTCTCTTAGGGTAGGGTGTCGCCACAACACAGCACAGAGAATCGTAAAACTAAAATCCAGGTAGGAGCTTCTACGCCTCATCGGCTCTAAAATGCAACAGAGTGCTCAGAATCAGCTCCAGCCTTCACAGCTTTTGCAACGGAAACTCCAATCCGACCAAAAGGAAAAATTCTTCATCAAGGCTTCTGGTTGCTCTCCTTCCGCCTCCAGCACTCGAACACCCACCTGAAGCCACTTGGCCGGCGATAAAAGATGGATTGATGTGCTGGGGAATGGCCGCGCAGCCTTCGTGCAGCACCGCCCCAAAGAAAAGGGCGCATCACTGCCCAGCTTGCGTCGGTATCGCAAAATGTCACATTGTATTTTGCTGGCGTAGAAGCGTTGCGGGCTGCTTCACCTGGCAAAATGAGCATGGCTGTGATTTGATCGGACATGCAACGCTCCTGCTTCAAGATCCACGGGCGCTTCCTTGCAGCAAGCTTGGCAGATTTCCCGTTACCGCAGCGTTAGGGTAGTAGTCAGGTTCGAGTTATTCATTCATTGTTTTGTACGTGATATGGCCGTATTCCACGGCCATTTTTGGGTGCAAATGCCTTGTGGTTGGCCACATCCTGAGAAGACACCTCGGCCTTCCAGCACGCAGCCATGGAAGATGGCAGCTGCGAAAGCAAAGGCCACACAGCAGAGGCACTGGCTGCAGGCAAGTTTCGTGGTCATAGGGCTTGAACTTGTGTGACTCCGGAAGCTTCTGCGGTGTCTCTTGAAGCTTCCTGTGGCCTCGTCATTCGTTCCAGGAGTCTAGACGTTTCGCAGGGGAATGCTGACAGTTTTCACGGAGGGGCGGGACAAGATGGAATTGGTAGGATATCTGGTTGCTATCAATTCAGAAAGCCATCATCTTGTGTTTTGGCCAGCACTTTCAGTCGACTTGAGTCCTGAAAGACGTCTTTGGAAGTTGCCGACGGTCATGAGTCCATTCTCCTTGTTCAGAAGACTGAAAAGGCGAACCAGAGGCAATAAGGTGAGTATCGGTGTGCTGGTATTGTAGAACTTGAAAAATAAAGAAGACCATGCCTGCGCAGTCGTTGTAGAATCATGCGGCAGCCATGAACGGCAAGTATGTACAGTACAGGCAAACGAATCCTTGCAACATCATTGGTTACTTCTGGAATGGTTGCACTTCCATGCCTACCTTTGCGACGTATCTCGTGGTCGTCCTCTGTATGTGGAAGATGCTCGAGATTGTGAAACTTGCCGTTTGGGGATCCCAAGCACATGGCCTTCCAGTCAAGACATGTGTCAGCCGCTAGCTTCTGAATTCCTCGATTGCACGTCAAATCCCCGGAGTTTCATGGGAAACCATCCAGCAGGCGATGCCGTTGATGCCGCTGCTCTTGACCCACAATCGACCAGCGAGGTGCAACTTCTCGTGCAATGTGCTGAGTAACGAAGGATGGCCATCGTGTCGTCATGTGTCGTCATCCTATCATCGAGGGACCGTCGCAAAGAGCGCCTTCGGCTTTTGTCTTCTTAGGAGGAGGAGCTGGAGACTGAGGCCGGTAATTAGGAGGAGGGAGGAGGGACGTGAATCGTTAAAGCAAGACGGTCCTTCCCCGCTTGACTTGAGGAAGTGGAAAGAAGAGGTTTTCATGCAGTTGCAGCATGTTTCTCTGGGTTTCTTCAAGCTCACACGACCCCTACTCATCTACCTCAAAGGGTTATCGTCATTGGGTGGCAATGCAGTCTTTGACCATGATGTTGCCAGCTGGCCAGGAAAGAGTCTCCTACCACCTCACCATGGTGGATGGCAGTGCGACTTGAATGCAGAAGCCTCTTCAAGAAAGTTCTGCCGACCCAGATTCATGAATTTTCGACTGTGATCTGTGGGATGGCTACAGTATGAAAAGCAACTTCGAAACACATCAGACCCTGGAGTGGCTTACCCACTCTTCAAGACCCCAGCGACAGTAGGTATGCAGAGCAGATTTGCGTAATTAGCAGCTCTGACAATAAACCTGCCTTAGTTCATGGCCCAGCCCAATCTCTCCTGCAGTCCTCCCATCTTCAAACACATCAGATGCCCCGTGTGTCTGTAGCCTTCCATGGGATTGTTTCAGAGAGCCGTGGCGATGGCCAGGAATGCTAGTAACCCCGACTTTGCCGTTTCTGCAGTTGACCCATCTGTCCGTTTTGGTCAAAAGCGCTCTTCAATCCGCTAAGGATTCAGCCTGAATGCAGTAATAGTCACGCTCAGCCAGACATGATTGGGTTCGGGTCTCAAAACGGTTTTGGAAGGACCATGATAGGATGTCAGTTAGGGACTATATGGGCTATATAGGCGCCTCTTCTGCACGGCGCCAGAAATTGACATACATGGAGACTCCCCCAAATTAAGTACACAGCGGGTTACACTGTTGGGCTTCCTATGATGATACAAGTCCCTAGATCGATTTCTCAGCAATTTAGGCCACGTCCCATATCAGCTCGCATCCAGGTACGTTACAAGCAAGGACCTCTCACAAAAATTCCTCAAAGTTCTGCCAAAACCCTATCTTCTGTTTTGCTTCTACAAGATTTCCCCGGGGTCCGAATTTGCAGCCGCAGCTGGGAGGTTCCCAGGCAGGTACAGGTCCTAAGCTCTGCTCCCTGAGCGATGTGGACCCAAGGCTCTACAGCCGGCACCCCAAATCAGTTCTCAACACCTTGAGCCCGAATGTTTTCATTGACTCTACAAGCTGGAATAAGGTGGAATACCTGAGGTACCACCTAAGCCGTAAAGTCCACACAGACCCTAAACGACCAAACACCCTGCCCCTGAACCCTATACCGAGAGGAGACAGATGTCTCTTTGAGTGCGGAAGCGACGGTCTACGATGCCTGCGCTGCAGCATCCGCCTGGAGGGGGTTGCAAGTCGGCCGGCTGAGGCCGTTTCCGAACGCTTGGGATCCCTGCAATGAAGAAACCTCTATTTGCAGGGTTGTGGGAGGACCCTAATTTGTGGAAAGTAGTTTTTGGGCTTTGTGTTCGGAGGTTTAGTTATTTTCATGTTGGCGCGATATTGTTTCAGGATTTGGTCCTGACGTGCACAGGCAGAGTACGGGATGATGCGATATACAGCAGACAAACATTCCAGACTAGGCCAGATTGTTCAAGGTTCCTGGTGCTCTTCGTGCCAGCTTACGAAGTAGCAGGGCTGAACATAGCAACAGCAGCAAAAACCATTCTGGATGATAGTTTCAAGCTCAGCTTTTGAGGCCTGGTCCCGCGGAATGCTTTGCAAGAAGGAGGCTGATGGAGGCTTAAGGAGTCAATGCTGCTTCGCCGCCCGTCCTAGTGTCAAGTTGTCGCTGCTGCTAGCTTCTTTTCGTTGCCATCGCCGCTTCGACTGCAACGTTGAACATCGAAAAGACGTATACGTAGATCAGATCCCTCCTAGAAGGGCCTCGAACAGACGTCGCTTTTTTCGACTCTCGCTTGGGAGTAAGGGCAGTCGAAAACGGGACCCCCCCCAGGTTTGGGAAGGCAAGTTCCGTGTCCTCATGATCTGTGAAACAGCCTGGTCGTGTTTTGGTTTCAAAGCACAGAAGAATCTCTCCAATCCTTGAAGTTCGGCTAGCTCTTTTGGCCCAGGCTTTTTGCGAGTTCCCCCTTAACCCAGACAGAGATGCTATTTCGCACTTTGCACAACATGGCAGTCCTTGTACATACCATCCCAGAGAATAAATCCTAAACCCTAAATCCCTCCTAAACCCTAAACCCCTAAACCCCTAAACCTCTCCTAAACCCTAAACCCCTAAACCCCTAAAGCCTAAAGCCCACACCCTAAACCGTACAAGGACCCTGACTTCCCTCTCTGAGCCCCACCTGGCAGGTTGGTGGCAGATGGTCAGGTGGAGCGCCCGTGCCGCCTTTGGCTCCAGGGTTTGGGGCCCAGGGTTCCGCCTTTCCGGGTCAGAGCTTCCAGGTTCAGGGGTTTAGGGCAGTTTAGGGCAGTTTAGGGTTTAAATTTGGGGGTTTAGGTTTTAGTTTGGGGTTCTTGGGTTAGGATTTGGGGCCTGTTGAGCAGGGGCTTCTCAACTCATGATTATGGGAATTTGAAAACGAAGGCTACGTGTTCACCCAACGTTCCTCATTCCCACAGCAGTCGGACGACACTCGGTTGATGCTGGTAGGTGCGTGCATGTTTTCCGCCTGGTTTGCAGTGGATATTCGCAAGCAGCAGCTGCGCCCCAAGCTTGCGCCTGAAATCCGAAACGTGCGAGCCTAAGCCCCAAAGCACCGGTCCTGAACGGAGAGACCTGGAGGCAACGTTAATTGACACCTGACACCAGAAGCCAAGCGAATCAGAGATTTTTCTTTCGCAAGAAGCTGAGACCTTTGCCTTTCTGCCGCAAGACGAAACTCTGCGACGTGACAGGCGCTTGGGGGACTCGAGGGGAGCATAACCCTGCAAGGACATAATACCTAGTGTAATCTCGTGTGTCTGCGCTTGCGGCCTGGTCGTTTTAAAAAATGAGTCTGGTCAAATCTGACAGCTCGGGCGGGAGATAAAGGCCACAGGTACTGTGGCCAAGGAGTTGTGCAGGCGAGAGCACAGGGATGAGGTGTTAAGGTTTGGTTTCCAATCTTGTCATCGATAGTCGGGAATTTGCATGATGTCTCGATGACGGCAATGTAAGAATACTGTAGGTATATGTCCAGGTCCTGTTACTTGAGGCGCAGAGTTTCGCGCGGCAGCACCCTGAGGGGCTGATATTGTCATAGCAAAGGCTGCAGCATCTGCCGTATTGCAATGAGTGGGTGTGATTTTATGTTTAGCGTCATGACAGTAGCCTTTTTTGTGATTCGTCGGTCATGAGCATCGCTTTGCTGGGCAAGGCGGGCAGACAAACCTCCTCGTTGTGCTTCCGGGCGGCAGTTGAGGATCAGGAGACATGAACGAAACTCGCAACCGGGAGGAAACCCAAAGCCCTAAACCCCTAAACCCTAAAGCCTAAACCCTCAATGTGAGAGGGCTGGAGCAAAACGACGCTCAAAAATACAACCCTCAATGTGAGGGAGCTTCCAGAAAACCCCGAGCTGAGCAGCTTGCGCAACTAGTAGCTGAGGCTGAACAACCTTGTGCAGCTAACTAAGCCCTAAGCGCCGCCCACAGATACAACATGTCAGAGCACGAAAGCCCGACGTAGAGGTGCAGATGAATGATCTAGCAGCCCAAGAAGACAAGAGGTAGAAGTTGTCATCATGTTGCCATAGTTGTCATTCTCTGAGAGCCACAGGCCCACGTTTTGAATCCCGCCTGCCCAGGATCTCGCGGGCGTATGACTTGGGAGAAGCCACCGGGCCTTTGGCGTCCTCCTGCACCCGCTGCCAGTTTGAGCACTACCCTACCTCCTTCTATGTTTCCAGGCAGAGTGGTGATGCGATAGAGATGGAAGTCTGCGAGGGACAAAGGGTGACTTTCTCCGACCCCGGTGCCGATCCAGGCGAACCTGCCGGAGCGATCTTTGGCGTGTCGCAGCCGCCCTTGTGTGGTCGAATGCTCATGCGCATCTTGCTCCATCAGCGAGCTTGGGCCTTCGGAGTCGGTCTAGGATCCGAAAAGGCCGATCAGTCCCAGGATCCGGAGCATGATCCTGGCTTCCTGGGCCTGTACCACGGCGGCAGCTCCACCAATGTCTGTGCATATGCCGAGAGAGTTCATGAAGGAGAATGGGTTCGTGATCGAGGCTCCAAGAAGTTCTGGACTGAAGAGACTGAGCTTGCCATTCTGTTCAACTTTGATGATAAGAGAGGATATGGTACCATGCAGTGCTTCGAGGGACTGGAGCCATTCGGCACGCTGGTTCCAATTATCAGCGACAGCTACTGGCCGACGGTGGTTTTGTTCATGCCCGATGATGCGGCAAGCATCGCTGTAGACTTTGTTTGATTCTGTGCTGTCTTCGGTTTTCCGGCAAGATGCCGTGGAAAGAGCATGACCAAAAGACAAGCGCTGGAGTGACTTGCATGGTTCTTGGCAGAAGCCTGAAGAAGATGAAGAAGCGATAGCCTGTCTCTTCCTGATATCCGTTATGTACCAACTACGACAGAGTCAATAGTAGAGCTTATGAACCACCAGGGCTCAGAGACTGTGAATTGGCTCTGGGTTTTGAGTGCCCAAAGAATGCGGGTCTTTATTTGGGGCGTGTCCCTATCAGAGGGCGTCTTGTGCTTGCTGTGAGATGACCCCTGCCTCTTGGAAACGCACATAACAGCGTGTACACCGTACTTATCAAGGCTGCCACGGCCCAGTAAACCCTAACCTCAAAACCCCGTAGATTCTCAGCTCCAGCAGTGCACAGCCTCAGCATGGCTACCCCAAGCAAGACCTCCCATGGGTGATATTTTTCTTATGGGGTGTAGAGTGCTTGATCTCTTGGGTGCAAGGATTCCAGGATTAGCCAACCCGTAATCTACCCACAAACCCCAGCGATCCGCGTCTTCGACATCTGGGCAAAAACAATGTGAACCGGGTCGATCTTAGTCCAACAACTGTCCATAAGGAGCCATGCAGCTTCGACCGTTTCACTTGCAATGGCTCTTCTAATGCGGATGCCGCTGGCAGTACAGGCGACATGGGGCCTGCAATGCTCCTATGCTGCAACGTTTCTGGTTGTCGTTTCCTCTGTTCGAGGTCCGGCGACCAGATCAAAATTGTGAGCATTCGGTCTAGGCACTTTGCTCCAAGCATTTTCCGAATTGTGGTGTTTTTGTCTGTATGTACGTACCACTCACCGGCTGCAACCCGCAAGCGCGCAGTCTGTGTGCCGAGCGGGCATCATTCACCATGGCAGCTTCATCCAGTCAGAGTCTAGAAGTTTGTATGCTGAACCCAAACGGGCCGTGCAAATCTTGCATATGCCCTCGGAAGTCTGGGTTGAAGTGGTCTTCGACGGATTGCGGCAGCCCACACAGAGTAAACATATGCAGATGCGTTTCTTCCTTTAGCTTTTCCTTTTTGTTCCTTTTGTCCCATGAGGTACGCGATGGACTTGGCGGCTTGGCGGGCCGCCGTTGACTGCGATTGGAGGGTGCTGGATGTGGCTCCCAAAGAGCTCTGTGCAGAGCACGAGGCCCTCAGGAGGGCGGGGAAGGAGGAGCAATCTAGGGAGTGAATCTGTCTTTTTCCTGGCGGCAAAAGTCTGCCGTCGGTGTTGTGCGCCTTCTTTCAAACTTCAACTAGGCCCTAAGCCCTGGAGTACCTCTACAGTAGCCCTACAATACTAAGCTGTCAAGTATATCATTTTAACATATCCGCAGTAGCCTCTGAGGTCATGCTATCGGCAGTCCTTCAGTCTGGCCAAGCTCTGAGTCACGCGAGCGAGGAGTGGGCAAGTACACATTTGTGCGCCTAGCTAGGCCATTGGTACATTTCCAGAATCTCTCCAGATATTGTTCAGATGGTTTACATCGACAACCTAGGAATGCCGGACGATGACGTTTAAGTGTTCCTGAGTTACATTCCGCATCAATGTTCCGTCGAAGTTGAAACGGAGGGCTATTGCGGGCTATTCAACTGCTGTCGTGCTTATCCTAACCCTGAACTCGACTGTTTGTGACCGACAAGTGAACGTCTTTGGAACTAGCTAGGCTTGCAGTGCTTTCTCCTAGCTCCATTGGCCCCCTTTCACAAGGAAGCATTGTGCAGCCAGGCCTTTAGGGTTGGACGCCGGTAAAGCCCTGGAAGCTCGAATCCTAAACCCTAGGTGCTAAACCATAGAAACCTAAAGTCCTCTCTACCCTAAACCCCTCTCTGCCCCAAACCCCCTAATCCCCAAAGTCCGAAACCCTATAGTTCTGGACCCGAGACTCCTAAACCCTCGAGGTCTAAACCCTAAAGCCCTAAGCCGTGAAGCCCTATAGGAGCCTCAAAAAACATCCAAAACCCCGAAGCCTCGTGGTTTCAGGAGCTCAGGGGAGCTCGTTCTGTGGCGCTTGCGGCGATCCGTGGTGATGCCACCGCGTGGCTGGCCTGCAGAGGGTGTCGGGCTTAAGGGATTGTTAGGATTTGGGGCTTTTTCTTGGGGTGTAGAGTGTGCGTGCGCATGATGGGGTTTAGGGACTTGGGTTTAGGGGTGGAGTCGGGTGGAGGCTTAGGGAGTAGGGTTCAAGGTTTAGGAAAGGAAACGGGCTGCAGGGATTAGGGAGTTCGGTGTCTGTGGTTGAATGCTTCAAGGATGATCAAGGATCTGGGTGGCTTTGTACATGGATTCTGGGATTCAAGCTGCAGGTGTCAGGCGTTCAGAATTGTCCGAAAAAGCGTGAGACAATTGATGTGGGTGTTTTGGAACTTCAGAGGCCACGTAGTGCGACCACCGACAACAGCAATGCTTTTGAGGATATTTGAGTTTTGAACTTAGACTTTTGCTCCCCCTCGCGGCTCTGCACAAGATCCGAGTTTCAGGCTGGTGCTTTGGCTTGAGACGGCTTGAGGATCAGTGGAGGGTTTCAGGCCTTCCGGCCCGACTTTCAATTTCGGGGGTCTAGAAGCTCGAAGCCCCAGTCTGCATGTAGGTCTTCGCGTCGTCGCACCGATCGTGGCTACAGTAGCTGCAGATCAATCTCTCTCCATTCCAAAGCAGCCGGCAGCTGATCCTAAATCCTACACCCTAAGCCCTAAACCCTAAACCCTGCACTCTAAAACCCTCATACCGTCTTATACCCTATACAACCCTAAACCCTAAACCCTAAACCCTAAGCCCTAAGCCCTAAACCCTAAACCCTAAAGCGCCTAAACCCCTAGGGTTCTTGGGGTTCTTTGCCGGCCCTGGAGCTGCAGTTTGGAGTTCGTCTCTCCGCAGCTGGCTCTCGCGCTTCGGCTGCAATGCGTGGCAAGATGTCCCTGGGAGGAAAGTAGGGCACTAGGGTTTGGGTTTTAGGGGATTGGGTTTAATGTTTAGGGTTTAGGGGATAGGGTTGAGGGTTTAGGGGATAGGGTTTAGGGTTTAGGCTTTAGGGTTGAGGGCATGAGCCCGTCTATGAGTGAAAGCGTTTCTTGCCGGATCAACCTACGGCACTTACCCCTCCTGTGCATGCTGAAAGGGCAGTCGACAAGAAAGCAGGCTTCAGTACGCCAAAGCCTTATAAGCATACATCTTTCGTGCTCCGTTAGTTGCCTCCCGACTAAGGACACCACCTTCATACTTGAGGCCGGGACTCGATTTGCAGTTTTGAGTCTGTTGTCGAACCCTCAATACCTGTCAGTCCTATGCACCTGAAGACATGGATGGGTTCAAGAGTTTCCTCTGCGGAAATCGAAAGCTTCTTTCTCCACACATGCCCGAATTCGCGCTTTCCTTATTTTTGGTCGCTCAGCGCACTGTTCCAGAGCAACAATCGGCCGTGCAGCACAAAGGATGTTTTGCAGGAAAGCTCCAGACCGTGTTAAGGAACTATATATATATAGATACCATAGTAAGGAAGCCTCATAAGGTAGGTCATTTCGGCTCCAGGTAAATCAAGCCTTTGGGAACGGTAGGAAAGGAAAGGCGGAAATTTTTCAAGAGCTCGCTGCAGCGGCGGTTGCCTCGTCAGGCCGCTGCCCA